TCCCCGCAGAGGCCATGGAGGACGAGGAGAGGCGGAAGAAACTGGAGGCCGGCCGAGCGAAGGTAGGCGAGCCGGCCGCGCCGCCGGCCGGGCCCGGTGGGAGGGAGGCCCGGGGAGCGGGCGCCGCGCGGTCCTTTCTCTTCCAGCCCGCCGCCCTCGCCCTTTTCCCCGGCCCGAAAAGCCCTTGACCGCCTCGCACCTTGCTGACCTTCCGGTCCCCTCGGATCGTGTGGTTCTTCCTCGTGAATCCCCAAATGAAACCCACCTTTTACTTTATTGCTTCCACCGAGGCTTTTAAAAACATTTTTTATTGCCTCCGAATCTCCCAACTTTTCACTCTCTCAGGGTGTTTTCAGGGCACTGCGGGCATTGTGCTTTTTGGGTTTTTTTTCCCCCTGGGTGAGGGCTTGGGGCTTGTCTCTGTTCGGGGTGTGTGCGCGGATCAGCTGGGCTTCGGCGGTGGCACGCTGGCACTCTCGGTGTGTGTGATTGGCTGGTGACAGCTGCCCAGCAGGGGCTTGAGGGTGCCACAAGTGCCGAGTGTGAACGCCGCCGGAGGGGCGTTTCTAGCAGCGCGCTTTGTACGTTTGCGTTTGGAGGTCTTTGTCACCGCGTGCGCTTTTGCATTGTGCGGAATGTGAATGCCGTCGGTGAATGGAACTTCTGGGCCGTGGTGACGACGGTGACGTGAGTGGCGCCTACGATTCCATATTCTGAGCAGCACCTCTAAAATTCCTGCTTTAAACACTTGCGCTGTTTTAATGGTTTATTGTGTGTGCGCATCTATATGTATGTGTACATGTAATATAGATGCAATCTCTAGTGAGCCGTGTGTGCGTACGCGTAGGCGTATGTGTGTGTGTGGTGTGGGTGTGTGTGAGAAAAAGTCTGTAAAGACTACAATACAAAAGTATAAACTTAAGTGAGTAGGCTTCTTGAAGAAACCGACACAGGCAAAATGTAAGTGAAAAGCATTCTTTTAAGAATTCCATGCTTGAGTTTATCTTTTGATCTCAACAGCCCTCATTCTTCCTACAATCAAGTTATCTTTTCTAGATCTTATTTTAACCATCTCATTACGGGTAATTAATTATTAACTATTCTGGTTGAACCACATTTAAATTATAACATAATTGACTCCCCTTCCTTTCTTCATCCTCCTCTCTTTCAAATCATCCAACCCACCAGCAAACAAAGGAAACCGGGTCGTGATATTGGTAACCAATGACGAGCCAATACTGCAGAAATACATTCGTAGATGCTGAACAAAAATGTAATAAGGATGCAAACCACGTTACTAAAATATAGCTGACTTTTTCACAGATTCACTGTAAGCTCAAAGCTTCAGTGGGGTCTGTATCAAGGTAGGTTATTATTTTAAAAATCTGTAGATGGGAGTGGAAGAGGAATCAGGTCATCTTCAGATGCACAAAGTTGCTTACATTTGTTGAGTAATCTGAGGGTCAGAGCAAGTTCTGTGTCGCCCAAGAAGGGGAAGCTGAGGGTGTGTCTCCTTCCCAAAGCATTGAACTTCTATTATTAGATGTAATTACCAAGTTTTGTCTGTGGCCTCACACATTTTATCTGCCCCCAGAAGTGTCTTCCAGATATACATAAGGTGGAAGCAACGTTATAATACATAATTTACTTTAGGCAGAAACTTCTCAAATTGATTAAATGAATAACTTAAGTTGTCATGTGTAGTTGACTTTACACAAAAAACAAACAAGGAAAAACAAAAAACGGAGTTACTTAAATTCTGTGTAGTTAATCTGGCAAAAAAAAAAAAGCCAGTTTTCTTGTGTGCACATGGAAATTGTGTGTCTTTAGACATTCTAGCAACTAGGAGTAAAAATATTTTTCTTTCCACTTTAATTTTTAAGGTGCAAGCTTATCTTTAGAGTTGAACCCAGTTATTTTTATTGCTAAATAGATCTCTGCCACTTTTCAGGTAAGGTATGCTTGCAAAGTTAAGCCATATAATACAAAAAAATGGGCGCAACCTTCAAAGACAACATTCCTCACTGCCATTCAGTCAGCACCCTATAGAACAGGGTAGAACCGCCCCTGTGGGTTTCCGAGGCTGTAACTGTTGACCGGAGCAGAAAGCCCCGTCTTTCTCTTGCAGGACAGCTGGTGATTTCAAACCATGGACCTTGCGGATCACAGCCCAGTGCAAAACCATTACACCACCAGGGCACCAAGACAACATGAGGAGAATCGTTTTTTAAGATGTGTAAAGGCAGTGGAATAATGCACAGCCATTAAAGTTATGAGGACTGATGGGAACATGGAAAATAGAGTGCTCAACATCACCAGAACTAGCATATTTTGTTGTAAGGTGACATTGAGTCGGTTCTAACCCACAAGGACCCTGTGCCCAACAGAAGGAAACACTGCCCAGTCCTGCGCCATCCTCACAATTGTCCCTGTGCCTGAGCCCATGGTTGTAGCCATTGTGTCATTCCATCTAACTGAGAAATTGCATATGCACTTCCTCCTTTATTGACTATCTCATTTTCCAACATTTTGCACTTATGAAAACTTTGAAAAAAATTCTTAAGGGATGCTTGTCGTGGTCTGGGTTACAAGCAGACCTGGGGTGCTCACCACAGGCCACCCTGAATGAATGATCTCATGGAGGTTCTGGACATATGAAGGAAAGTAGCCAAATAGCCATAAGACACTTCCACTCATCTGTGACATTTAGGTCCTGGCACAGAGGACATGAGACCATGGTGGGGGATGATGCAAGGTTGAAGGTGGGCAGGGGGAGGCCAGACCAGGGCTGGAAGGTGCAGGGAATTCAGTGGGGAGAGGCAAAAAGAGAAGGAATGGGAAGGAGTCTCATGGGGCTATGGGGATAGGACAGACAGAAGATGAACAGGGGTTCCCTGACCAGGGCAGGTGACAGGAGGTGGCAGATGGAGAACACTTGGGGTCCCCATCCAAGGCAGGTGATGAGAGAGAGTGGCAGCAGTCAACACCCAACCACCACCACCCTCTAGGTCCAGAGTAATGGGAAAGGCATGGTAGGGTGGGGGATAGGGTGCAGATGCGCCATGCATATCCCAAGATGCACCAAGGGTGGCCATTGGTCGGTGAGTGATGGGGCCAAGGGTTAGGGTGACATGGACATACACTGACATTGAAGACAAGGTGTGGCCCCCCAACTCACATAACACCCCTTTCACCTAATGACTTGTTCTTCAGAACTTAAATATGTTGATAAGAGTGAGTCTACATTATTTCAATTACATGAATGTGCTTATAGATTAGGATTAAAAGATTATTATAAAAAAAGTAATTCAGCAAATGTGAGCTGTCTTATACCAAGAAAAAACAGAGAGGTGGTGACATAGTTCCTGTTTTGAAGAGACCCACAGTTCAGTGGAGAAACAGACTGGGTAATGAGTACAGTGATGGAGAAGGTGCACTAGGCTTTGTGGCGATCTACCCACCCACCCCCAATTTGTTCAATGTGTCCAATACTGCCACCTCATTGAGACTTTTACAAATAAGACTCTTAATATCCATAGGAATGTCATCTAGCCGGATACCTATTCATAGGAGCCTGGGTGGTTCAAGTGATGTGCAGCCAGGTGCTAACCCACAGGTTGGCTATTCAAGCCCACTCAGCAGCTCCAAGGAAGAAAGGCTTGGCAAACTGCTTCCATAAAGATTACAGTCAGTAAAACCCTATGTAGGACATGAAGGTATGGGGCTAGGGGTGGGGTCAGCCCACAACAGCTAACACCGGACCTACCACCTACCTCACTAAAGGCTTGTTTATGAATTAATGAGCACATTGCTCATGAGTTGTCATTACTCTTCTACTTCCCCAGCTGGTTGTAGTACTAGTTTGTGGTCATGCTTGTAATTTAGTAATAATTCCATAGCTCTCAACTAAATTTTCTTCCAGGCATGACAAACATCTTGAAATTATCATTTTCCTAAACTTACTCAGCTACTTGGTTTTCCAGATGCCTTGTTTGTTCATTGGACCGAAGGATTCTATTTTGTTGGAAGATCTAATTCTGTTCTTGTTAGGTCGATCTGTTGAATCCATCCTGACTCATAGCGACCCATGAGCAACAGGGAAAGCCACCACCTGGCCCTGCACGGTCCTCACTATTGTTCCCATGCATGAGCCCATCGTTGTAGCCACTGTGTCACCCCTTCTTGTTGAGGGTCTTCCTCTTTTTCACTGCCCTTTTACCAAGCATGATGTCCTTCTCCAGGGACTAGTCTCTCCTGAGAACAAGTACATGAATTGAAGTCTTGCCATCTTTGCCTCTAAGGAGCATTCTGCCTGTACTTTGTCCAAGACAGATTTGTTTGGGGTTTTTTGGCAGTCTATGGTACTTTTAGTATTCTTCACCAGCTCCATAATTCAAATGCATAGATTTCTTCAGTCTTTCTTATTCAATGTCCAACTTTTTCCCCCTAAATTATTATGAACTTTTTTCCAAAAAAATTTAAGCATAAAGTAATAAATGTAAAGCACATCTGTACATTCATTGCCCTCATCATTCTCAAAACACTTGCTCTCCACTTAAGCCCCCAGCATCAGGTCCTCATTTTGTCCCCTCCCTCTCTGCTCGCCCCTCCCTCATGAGCCCTTGATAATTTATAAATTATTATTTTGTCTTGCCCTGTCTGACGTCTCCCTTCACCCACTTTTCTGTTGTCCGTCCCCAGGGAGGAGGTCATATGTAGATCCTTGTAATCGATTCCCTCTTTCCAACCCACTTTCCCTCTACCCTCCCAGTATCGCCACTCACACCACTCGTCCTGTAGGGATCATCTGCCCTGGAATCCCTGTGTTTCCAGTTCTTATCTGTACCAGTGTGCATTCTCTGGTCTAGCCAGACTTGCAAGGTAGAATTCGGATCGTGATAGTGGGGTGGTGGGGTGGTGGGGTGGTGGAGGAGGAAGCATTTAGGAACTAGAGGAAAGTTGTGTTTTTCATGGTTGCTACATCGCACCTTGACTGGCTCGTCTCCTCCCCGTGACCCCTCTGCAAGGGGATCTCCAGTGGCCTACAAATGGGCTTTGGGTC